AGGAGGATGTGGCAGAGGGGGGCACTTATTGCTGGTGGAAGGGCAACCTTTTTACAGTTCCTATGAAATCAGTGTGGTGGTTCCTCAGGAGGCTGTGGATATACCTCGAGACCAAGTGGTAACTTTTGGGTATACACCCAAAGGATTCTATATTCTACCACAGAGACATTTATTCAACCATGAAAACTGTTAAAAACAAAATTATGAAATTCTCATGAGCTAGAAAAAAAAATCCTGAGTGCGTTAACTTACACTTCCAAAAGACCAACAGGGTGTGTTTTATCTTACACGTCATGACTGCTATTCTGGTCAACCTGACTACATCTGGAGTTAGCTACAACTCACGCAGGTGGACACACCCATGAGGGGCTTCTCTCCAGCGGATCACTCAAGTCAGAAGACCCACCTTAAACCTGGGTTACACCACCAAGTGGCAGCTCACATAAAGAATGAGGAAGAAAGTGCTTTTGCTTTTTGCCTGCTTGCCCTCATTCTTGATGGCAACTTCATTCCTTTACCGGTATTAGAGCCTTTACTGGTACTGGGATTCCAAGATAGCCATTCTTGATCAAAGCTTATAAGCCAATCAAATCCTATATACATATATACGTACACATAAAATCACTCTATCACTTGTTTTTTCTGGAGAACCCTGACTGATACTATGTGAACGTTAGCTTTAAAGCCTTTGATATATATGCTACAATCCACAGAACCAGAGGTTAGGTACCTAGTAGGGACTCATGGGGGAGGAGGGGATCTAAGGAAAGGGGAAGAGAACTCCCTATCAGAGAAGGGGGTGTAGAACATGACTGAAGTAGAGGGCTACATGGGAAGGGGTGAGGAAGAGAGGAGCGAGAAGGGAGTATGGTCAGGGACAAGCAACTCTGGAACCATTTGGAAACCCAGTACCGTAGAAGCTTCTAAAACATACGTATGTCAAAGAAATCTAATGTGCTCCCCCCAACCCCCGATGTCAGGAGACAATGCTCCAGCTAGACATCACCAAGTGAGACCTCCAGCGCCAGGAATGAGTACCATCTAATTCAGTGTTGTCCAAAGGGCCCCACGGAAACCCTCGAACAATTCAAACTATTGCCAAGACTATTGATTGCTCTCCACAAACTGATGGTAAGACCCTATTGGCAAGGGCAACACACATCTCATGGAACAGAGAAGCCTGGCTGGTGTCTAGATAGAGGCTTTAAGGTACTCTGCACACTACCTGAGGAGAAAGGTGATCACCAACATAGCTACAAAACCTTTGATCTCCACCAGTGGCCTGCCTGCACAGTAAGCTAGTGCAATGGCAGCACAGTGTGACGAGAAACCAATCACTGTGATTGATTTTAAGGCAGGTCTCATCTTGTGGGCTACAACCCCTTTGGGGTCAAACGATCCTTCCACAGGGGTTGCCTAAGACCATCAAAAACCACAGGTTATAACTTATAGCAGTAGCAAAATTGAATGAAGTAGCAACAAAATAATTTTATAGTTGAGGGTCACAACATGAGGAACTGTATTAAAGGATCATAGCATTAGGAAAGTTGTGAACCACTGATTTAAGACCCACTTCATAAGATGTAATTTATGCCTGACACTACTCAGTGGCCAAGAACCTGACTAAACAGGCCATGGGCCTAAGGTAAACCCCAAATATTATGGTTCTGTTAAAGAAACATAGCAATAAAATGATTCCTAATAACATTCTACTACCACCCATTTATCAGTGTATCGTATACCACTCGGCCATCATCAGAGAAGCTTCTTCTTGAAGTAGCTGGAAACTAACAGAGACCCACAACAGGACAATGAGATTTTGGAGCATAGCCCTAAATGGGATATCTTCACCAAACCCTCCCGTTAAGGCTCAGGGGGCCATGTAGAAGAAGACAGAAGGATTGTAAGAGCCAGAGGGGATGGGGGCCCCAAGAGGATGGTATCTTCCAGATACAATAGGACCCAGGTACATAAACAAGAATTCAGAGACAGAGTAGCACACCCAGAGCCTGCATAAGTTAAAGTCAGACAGGTCCCAATACTGACAGAGGGAAGTAGATACAGGCTCCCACTCCTAACCAAGAAAAAACTGGTTTCTCGAATCTCCGGAGTGTAGCTGGGCCACACTTCAGGCTAGGCCTCATGCCGTATGGCCAGCACAGAAGAGCTTGACGGTATTTTTGTAGACTGTCTTAAATTGCCTTTTCAGGTATTTTCTGTCTGACTGATCTTTTGCTGTATATTTTGGTTTCACTTTGTATGTGAGTTTTTAATTTTGTTTGTTTGCTTGTTTGTTTTTTAAAGAGAGAGAAAGAAAGGGCCTGGAGTTGGGTATAGGTGGGGAGTTGTGGAGGATCTGGGAGAAGTTGGGGGAAGGGAAAGGCATGACCAGAATACAATGTATAGAAAAGGATATAAAACCCCTGACAATGCTCATCTCCACAAGCTCAGTTTTACACTGCTGTATGGAACTGTGTCACTATGTCTTCATGTTTATTGTTCCGAGACGGATCCTTTGCTTAAAACAACTCCTGACTTTCCTCATTGACTTCCCGGCCAATTCCAAAGGACCTCTTCATGTAGATCTTACTTACCATTGCAACATTCTACAGAACTAATTCTTGAGACTATGATCAACAGTCTGCCTAAGAACTGCTTCTCTCCTGGAACTCAGCTGAGGTCGCCAGCATGGAATCATGTTACAAACCTGGGTGTCTGACTTCTGCCCTTTAGCAGTCAACTCTGGTAGGATATGACCACATGGGCTATAAATGTGGCCTAGCTAAGTCACGCTGTGCAAGGACTATTTATTAAGTCAGCATGGCTGCTGGGTTAGACATTTCTGACTGTTACTTCATTCTCATTGGATACTTTCTACATCCTGCCTAGCTCCCCTGCAGCCAGCCATGGGTAACTTCCCTCGGTCACTCTGTTTGTCTACCCAGGTGAACAATGGCCCTTTCTCTACCTATTACTTTTGACTGCTCACACCTCCTTTCTGAACTTCCTGGGAGACACCACTCAGCATTCTTGGCTTCCTAGCTTCCTGCAAGTGGGCATTTATTTTTGTACATTGTCTGGAAGGCAGTATGTTTATATGATAAATCCTTAAAACATAGCAAAACTTTTTGTCAATAAGTGAGGGCAGAGGTTTAATAAGACAAAAGAAGCCTACATCATGTCTCAAGAGATCACTGTAGAGAGTGGTGGGACCCAGCTATAATCCCAGGACACAACTGAGGTAGCAAGGTTACTGTAAATTCCATACTAATCTGGGCTATTTAATAAATTCAATCTCAACATAGACATAATAAAACCTGTCTCAAGACAAAAAGAAACAAAGAAATCAATGTCCCAATATCTCAATCTCATTGTTATTCAAAATAGTGAATGAAAATGCAGACTTAATTTTTTTTTTAATTTGGTAGTATTTCTAACCAAATAACAGATTAAAAATCTCAGGGTAAATGATAAAAAATTGTATTTCAGAACTTCATTTTAAGTGCTTTTCAAAGGTAGAGCACCAAGAAGTGCTTGGGAGACAGCTCTCAATGTCTGGTCCATGCAGAAATCAGCTGTAAGGCTTCTCTACAGACACCTGCCCCAGCACATCTGACTCAGTAAACTCAAGTGAATATGGATAGTCTTTTTTTTTTGGGGGGGGGGGTTCGAGACAGGGTTTCTCTCCTGGAACTCACTCTGTAGACCAGGCTGGCCTCGAACTCAGAGATCCGCCTGCCTCTGCCTCCCAAGTGCTGGGATTAAAGGCGTGTGCTACCACAACCAGCGGGTATGGATATTCTTAAACTAATCTGACAGGAGTAAAGGCATTACAACTCTTAGCCCAGGATATTTTAAGAATTAGTGTAGAGAGTTAACTACCTATTCGATTGTTTGATATGTGCCATTTCTGTAAGATTAAGATGTAGAGAAATGATAAAATACTTTTGCAATGAGTTGACAGACCTTCTTCAGTCTTGGAAAAGCTTCTAAAATTGTCCACTGAAATGATCCTATGGAATTAAACATGAATACTATTAAACAGCAAAGTTTATTTAATATATACTCTACAATCCCCTTTTTAAAAACTTCAAAAGTTAACTCTAAAGTAAAATAATACAAATATAAAACAAAATTAGAAAATACTTGCTAAGATATTCAGCATTTTAAAGAGTTTGAAAACCTTCTGTAATTCTTAAATAATTAAGAATCTTTCCCAAAACACTGCACCATAACAAAACAGGTAAAGAATTTACCTCCATGACTCTCTGCGTTACAATGACTCCCAGCTCCTAAAGCACACGCATATTAGAATAAGTGGCAGTATAGTATGAAAAGAATGATGACATTCAGTCTTTGAGCTTTCTTCACAAATAACTCTGGAAGCGCAAATGACTAAACCAGTATCAACTTAAATAATTTTAGATATGCAAGTAATACAAATTAAAAAAACCAACCTGACCTATTCCATATTCCACTTATATGAAAAAATCTGAAAGTAACAATTTAGAAGCTTTTAAATGCTAGTTAACAAGTTTGGTGTTGTGTTGTTAGGTGTTGTGTTGCACACCTGGAGAATGAGGGAGGAAGATGTGGAGTCCGAAGTCACTTTAGGTTACACAGAAGTCACTCAGGACTGTGAAGTGAGAGCAGCACAGAATTTAAGAGGGATAAACAATCGAAACACTATCATTACATTTGAGGAAACTGGGCAGTTTTGTCTTCATACAGCACAGACATCATCATAGCAGGTTTTAGAATCTTTTTTAACCTTCTTTCCTTAACTTTCCAGAATGTTGTGATTAATGGTATGTGCATGCCCAACTAACTACAGCACTTAAAAATTTTTCATTATATGCTTGGATTAATGAATCTGTGATTTAAATATTACCTCTCCACTTTGGCAAACTCGTTAAAAAGGGTTGAGTCTTTTTTTTTCCAGTTTTGTTATATTCCAGCAAATTTTTATTCATCTTAAACCAGAAGATTAGCTGAACATGTTATACCTTACAAATTTTATTCAAACTCGGCATGTTCATTTAACACACACACAGATTTCTTAGCTAAATAATAAAATAAGTTTATTATACAAAGGTGGTATTTCATAGTCTGGACAGTCTCACTGGTCGTAATTTACTATGAAAATGCTATAGCTCTAAGACACGTGAAGACACCTGTAGTTTGTATGAACTGAGTATTCTATTCTGTCTTCTTAGTTCTGTGACTTGGGCCCTAACAGGGAGAATTATCATCAAAGAACTCAGTATCAGTGAACACTGTGAGTCTGTTTCAGTGCAGTTTAAATCCTGACAAGTGAGACTTAACTAATTGATGGCAGAGATGAGAAACAGTCACCAGGACTTATCAGAAACAGGAACTGGCTGGGAAACTGTAACTTACAAGGCAAAGTGAAATCAATCAATATGCAGAACAGTGAGAGGGAAAGAGAGGGAGCAGGCGTGGAGGATGGGGTGATGCTGAATTCCCTACACCCAGCTGCAATGGAAAGGACCACTACAAAGCTACAGCCAACAACCAAAAGTTGTAGTTTAATTTATAGAAGTGAAAAACTCAAATGTAAAATGGTAAACAAACTGATAATCTAAAAGTATACCTGATAATTGAATTTAGGATATTAATTCTATTTGTGTGTATGTGTGTTGCCTTAGGCATGCAACTCAAGTTTCTTGATTTTTCTAAGTAATATATCAAATTTAGAAGCCAAGTGATTTCTAGTATGTATTTTGTATCTAGAAAATTCTTTTTAGAACATTTATTTTAAAAAGTGCATAACTGATACAAGATAGGTTTATAAAAATTTTTGAAAACTTGTTATATATTCACTTCCAATAATCTACAAATCTAATAAAATATAAAATGAATCAAATTCCAAAACTGTCTTCTGACCACTCAAAAACACCAAATATCTATTTAAAAAAATATAGTTTCAACTCAAACAAAACTGATCTGAGTACTGGTTTTCTCCAGAATACTGAATTCACTCTCAATGAACAAAAATTTACACACATTTTCTGGGTTTTAAGAGAAATACTTCATTTGGCTTCATTAGAAAAGTTACCTCTAAAGGAATATATTAATAAATAGCACAATTCTTCCTTAGTATCTAAATTTTCATAGACATAAACATGAAATTGAATCCCTCTGACAGTTTCCATACTGGTCCACAGGGCTTACAAACAGAAACACTTTGAAGTTGATATTACTGTAGACTTTGTTTAAACAGTGAGGAGAGAACAGCAACAAAAAATCCACAGGTCAGATTCTACCTAAGGAACAAATAAGTCTACAATGCAAAATGAAGATGGAATTAAGGCAGCTTTAACAGTGTCTAAAACCTACCCACTCAAAAAACAGTGCGCTGGAAGCCGCTCCTTCACAGGCTGGTTGTTTACAATAAAAGCCAAAAACCAAAACAAGCACTGACTGATGCAGTATCAGGTGCTTTTACTTCTGTAAATAACAACTAATGATCACATAGCTCAAATGAGTGGGGGTTAATATCAATATGCACCTTACCAGACATGTTTACATTTAGTGCTAAGGATGCCCTAGCAATTCCATGTCCTCAAAGTCAATATAATTGTTGTAAGAAAATCAACTGTGGTTCCGAATATCCATTCACAGTTGACCTCAGCAGTGTGTCTGATGTAGGAGACTGACTATCCGTGACAGGGAGAAGCATATGGTGGTCCTCAGTCCCAAGTGGAAGCGCTAAGGGTAGAGTCATATCAGAAGGCTTCACATCTAGTGTTTCTGACAGAGGACTTCTCTGTATGGTGTCTTGTTCACTTAAAGCAGCATGGTCATCTACACTGCAATCTGGATTTTTATCTGTACCTGAAACAGAAGGGAAAGTATACTGCCTTTAACAATGCAAAACCACACAACCGTCTGAGGTACACTGATCCACTTACAGGTCCTAGAAACTACAATACACTCCGCCTTCCCCCCCCACGTGCAGCCTGTTTCTCTCTCCCCAGTGTACGTGATGAAGTTTGCACTGATTCTACAGTATGTATCAAGAACAGGGTCAAGCGCAAACATCACTACATAAATAAGTCTACACATTCTAAACCCGGGTGAACTTTTCTCCTCTACCTCACTACACAGTTGGCAAATCTCATCCTCTTCCCCATGGCACCCGTTCCTCTCAGTCTTGTTTGACACTACTCAGTCATGCCTCCACTCAACTAGGCTGTAAAGTTCTTGACAGTGAATTCTAAGTTAAACATCTCTAATTCCTTCCAAGTGCAGAAAGGCAACAAAGTAAATAAATCTTTGTACACTGACTATTTTTAACAAGGAGTGTGTACTAGCACGTGGCTTCAGGTTTGCAGTTCACAACTATCAATCAGTTATCCCCAGAGCAATGCTGCTCTCTTAGAGAAATTACCACACTGAGCAGAGATGCATTTTGCCTTCACTGCACTCCTGGCTCTAACATGTTGCTGCCACCCCAAAATGCTGACAGGACTTCAGCAGCCTCGTTAGATAGCTAACAGTGCATGCTTTGCTTACATTCAGTTGCATGCAATTCTCTGTACTCTGCAGTTTAACCAGTCAAACAACCTGAGCTGTCTTGTCTTAATGACTCATCAAAATGTCTTCCGTTTGCAATGACTCTGTCCGGCCAGTCCCCATCCCATGAATTCTTTTCAATTTCTGTAAAAATAAGTCTTTTCTCTCTTGACAGCCCTCCTCCCTTTTAGATACTGTCATTATGGAGCCCAAGTTGGCTTTGAACTTGCAACCAATCTGCTTTCCCTCAGCATCCTAAGTGCGGGACTATAGGCATGTGCTACCATGTCAGGTGAACTTAGGGCCACTCTAATGCTTCAGAAGAAATTTCTTCTTTAGCACTTCTGTATTTATGTTCTACAATTTCAATATGGTTAGATCTCTGACGATACATCCAGGTAAGCTCTTAGAGAACCAGAGCTATACCCTGTTCAACTTCATACGCCCTGTAGCTATGTGTATCCCATACGCATTAAATGGACTGTGAAGATACTCACTGCAGTTTTCAAATGTTTCTACCTTAACCCTTACAATTAAACTTATTATCATCTATATGTAAAATGAACACACACACAGACACACACACACACACACACACGTATGTACGTACGTACGTACGTATGAACATACGTTTGGTGCTAGATACTGTACCTGGAGCCTCACATGTGCTGGCATCACACCTGCTGATTCTCATTGTCATACCAGTGATACCTTCCATCTTGGCAGAATGGCATGGTAAGTAAATCAAGCATCTATTTTAAGCAACAATCCTAAAAGTTTGCAGTCTGGCTTCCTATGCTGACAGAACATTTTTGAGCTACCAGGGTCCTATACCTTCTAAATTTTGATATTCAGAGACTCTTTTCTTCCTAACTACAGCAGCCCTCCTCAACCGCCCAGACTGCGTTATGGACAATAATGAAATTGCTTACTTATATTTTCTTTCATTTTTGAAACTACTCAAAAGTCATGCTTTTTGGCTTTTGTTTGTTGGTTTGCTTGCTTGTTTGAGATTGTAGCTCACCTTGAACAACAATTGTCTTTCTAGTCTCTTAAGTTACAGAATTACGAGTGTGTGATATGTGCCAACATGCTTTGTGGCAAGTCAGACTTTTTAAAGGAAGAAATAGTTAAAATATTTTATTATTCTTATTCTGTATGTATGGGTGTTTTACTGCATGTGCCTAGGGACTGGTAGAAGACACTAGAATCCCTGGACTAGAGCTATAGACAGCTGTGAGCTGCCATGAAGGTGCTGGGACTCTAAACTGGGTCCTCTGGAAGGGCAGCTAGTGCTTGTAAATGCTGAGCCCCTGAATATTTTAAATTTATTTAATTTTAATTTTTATTTTTTTATGAAGTTCAATATTTCAAAAACAGAAGAAAGAGGAATCTTCTGCAAATTATAAAGCTACTTTTTTTACATGTATATATCTAAGTTTTTGTTACTGTTTTCTAAAATTATTTTATTCACTTGTTTGCTTGCTTGTTTGTTTATTGATGTGTGTGTGTGTCTGTGTACTGTCTCTGTGGCCATGCTGGCCTTGAATTTGAGATCTTTCTGTGACAGCTTCCTAAGTATTGAGATTATAAGCATGGACCAGCCTAGCTCTCTGTATCTACTTTTATATACAGATGGAATTCACACTGTTGAAATGTGTAGCTCAACATGCTAAGGACCAGTTCCAATAGAGAAGTTCATGTTTAAGCATATGCTCTTACCTGAATGGACCTTTGTTTTATGCTTCTTTAAGTTTTTAATGTCTGTGTAAGAATTTCCACATAATTCACAGATAAATGGTCGTTCTCCTGAAAAACAAGGTAAGAACTTTAAAAACTTAGTATTTAAAAAATTTCTGATACTATCATTTGATAACTATCAAATGTTAATGAAAATAAAGCAAAAGTTCTTTTAATCACTTAGTTATGAGTGTGAGATGAGAAACGCTATACACACAGGAACGCTTTTACTTTATAAGAGGATAAGCCAGTTTGGGGTGAAATAAAGCATTTTCATTGTCTGCAATTTTCAAAAATAATCTACTCTGTTATTGATATCAGATATACACTGGATGTTGTTCATATGCTAAAACCTGCTGTAGAGCTAGGAAAAAGCATAATTATGATTTTTGTTCTCATATACCTCACAAATGAGGAAACCTAAGAAATACTGACAATATTCTCAATATAGCTATTTTCAAATAAGAACTGTTCAGGCTGGAGATCTAACTCAGTGGAAGACTGCATGCTTAGCATCATTAAAGCTCTGAATCTGCTCCCCAGCAGTATGGGGGTCAGGTGATGACTGAAGAACTTCTAAATGTGTTACCCCAAAAAAGATGAAACACGAGGTCAGAGGAGCGGGCAGTGAGTTTACTAAGCCCCTTTAGTATTCATATCAGGCTGGATAAGACTTATGAAGATGGATTTTTTTAAAAAAAATGTTAACAGTGTATTTAGAAAGTAGCAGGTTTCCTTTAAATTTAATATTCAACATTTTATTCATACTAGTTATATATTACATGTTATAACAAATATGTTGATAACAAAATCCATTCCTAAAACTTGCATATAAGAATCCTACTTTATAAATCTGATGATTCCTTGTTTGATATATCTATTCAATTTAATGAAAATGTTTTCAGTTAGAAATGATGGATATCTGGCATATTCCTTAGAAAATCTACAGAATTCTTAACCAAATTTAAATTATACTCATAAACAACTAAAAAATAATAAAAGAAATAAACAAATAAAAAGCTGATATTTATCCATTAAAAACTTGTTATCACTAAGTTATACTAGATACTCTACAATGGATTCAAAGCCAAGGTTTATGTACAAAGGAATTAAGAGAGAACAAAAACCGATGCGTTCTCCCTAAACACAGACCTGTATGGGATCGAAAGTGTTTGTTGAGCTCTCCTGAGGAAATAAAACTTTTCCCACAAATACCACATATGTATGGTTTTTCACCTAGATGGAAAATAAAAGATAGCGAAGTGGTGTACTATACCAACATAACATTATCAGTTACAAGAGATCTACAGTAAGCTTTTAAAGTTATCATCTATATGAAAGCCTTTCTATAAAATATCTTAGAGGCATCCAAAGTAATGAACTATTAATTTATTCTACCTATCTAGACTGGTACTTTTCACACACTAAAACATCAGTTCTGCAAATGTCTCGTCTCTCTAGAAGACATGACCTAGGTAAACAATTGGATTCTTATGATTAAGAACATGTCAAGTTCAAGTAACAATTCAAATCTTGCTATCTATTAATCAAAGAGAATAAAAATATTTGAGGAAGATCATAGACAACAGCCTACCTTCCAAAAGAGACTCTAACCAGTACACTTTGTTTTCAAAACTTATAATTTGCATCTGACACATCTGTTTGAGTTCCAGATCTTGGAATGTCTATGCAAAAGACATCCCAAGTCACAAGACAGGTTTCTTGCCTAAGACACCTCCTGCTTAACTCCCCTCCCACATTCTTACTCATAGGAGACAAATTCTCAAAAAAAGCCTAGCTAGGTTTTCTCTAGTCATAAAAACATGGCTCAATTGGATTTATATATTCAGAATTCTCTTACTTTAACAAGCATAAGCTAATGATAAAATTTTTACCTACCTTGTATTATTCTAGAAAATGCCAGATTCTTAATCTAATGGTTACGTGAAAATCATGAACAAAGCTTCAAAGCTACCAAGGTAGATAATCTAAAAAGTCTACAGTCTACCTTTTGAAAAGGCCCAATTCCCACTTGTCCTAGCTACAGCCTTGCTCCAAGCAGTCTCAGCAGTAAACTCTTACCTGTGTGTTTCCGAGAATGAGTGATAAGAGAGCTAGAGACAGCAAATGCCTTTCCGCAGGTGTCACACACATAAGGCTTTTCTCCAGTGTGCCTGCGGACATGATAGGTCAGTGTGCTGGCCTGGGCAAACCTCTGCCCACATCTATCACAAACATATGGCTTTTCTCCACTGTGTTTCCTGTTAGTAAATATAAAGTAACACAACAGTAAGTAAAGCAATCCGGAGGCCATGTATACATGAAGTATTTCTTATATAAAATGCTGTATTTCATGGAGCATTTTACTTCATCTCAACAGGTGAAGACTACATACTTAACTGGGCAGTAGTGGCACATGCCTTTAGTCCCAGCACTTGGGAGGCAGAGGCAGGCGGATTTCTGAGTTCGAGGCCAGCCTGATCTACAGAGTGAGTTCCAGGACAGCCAGGGCTACACAGAGAAACCCTGTCTCGAAAAACAAAAACAAACAATAACTACATGTTTAAATTTAATAGTTGTTTCTATGTAAAATACTGCTGAAAAAATAATTTAAGGTATCAAAATATTAGCAGTTCTGAAATGAGTTCAAAACCGTTTTCCATCATGGTTATGGAGCTGTCTTAGGGCTTCTGTTGCTGTGATAAAGATCGTAAGCAAATCAGCCTGGGGAGGAGAGGTTTCCGTGTCACCTTCCATCCTTGAAGGAGTCAGGGCAAGAACTCGAAACAAGAGCTGAAGCAGAAGCCATGGATAACTACTGCCTACGGGCTTGCTCAGTCTGCTTTCTTACTTAACCAGGACCACCTGCCCAGTGGTGGCCCCAACCACAGTGAGCCGAAGCCTCTCACACTAATCGTTACTGAAGACACTGACCTGCAGGCTACCTACTGGCAACCCAATGGAGGTCTTTTCTCAAGTAAGACTCCCTCTTCCTAGGTATGTCTAAGTTTATGTCAAACTAAAACCAACCACCACAGTAGTTACTCAAATACAGCAATTATTTAGCTAGTCCATCTTCCTTGTCAAAAGTTCTTCCTCAAACTACTAGCACCTTCTCATCCACCTTCACGCTCAGCTGACAGTTGCTTCATATTTCACTGAGAAAAAGTTAATAAAATTTGGGCCAGTGAAGTTGGCTCAGTAGAGGTGCCTACTGCCATCTAAGTTTGATCACTGGGTTCCATATTGTGGATGGAGAGAACCGACTCCCCTGGGTTGTCCTAAGGCTACCACAGGCATGCCATTCATAGTGTAGATATATATATGAATATATAAAAAAATATTATTTAAAGAGAGAAAAGTTCTAAATCATAGCACCCTGCCTATAGCATCTGTATCTATATACCTTGTTCTTTTTCTGACTGTCACTTGTAGGTGACAATTCCACTAAAAATAAATCCCCTAACTCTGGGTGTTAATGGTTTGAATCCAGAAATGTTGCTTAAAGGCCAAGTGCCAATGGCTTGGTCCTCAGCTAGTGGTAATATTAGGGGTGGAAACTTTAGGAGGTGGGGCCTGACCTGCTTGTGACTAGGCCTCACCTCCTAAAGAAGCAGGTTACAGTTTTTGTACCACTGTCTCCAGGCCCTCTTTAATCTCTGCTTCTTGACTGCCACAGGATGAGCCCTGGATTCCACTATGCCCTCTGTCGTATCTGTTTGCCTCATCAAAGGCTCATCCAGATGCTAGGCCAGGAGAGCACGTACTGAAGCCTCTAGAACTGTCTGCCAACACAGGCCTTCCTTCTTAGGTTAACTGTCTCATAGTGACAGCTGGGAACATGAAAAAAGAAGAGAGTCAGGGATAGGCTCACTGTGACTGTGTCTCACAATGTGTCCAGACACTTTAGAACTGATGTTTAGGAGGAATTATAGCAAGTTTAGAGACACAGGTTAGAGCCGTTCTAGAAGACTCTAGCAGAGCTTAGTGGGCCATTCAGAAGACCATCATTCTGACAGAAATGTGGATAGCAGCCGGAAATAGGAACCATGGGCAAATGTCAATGATTCCAACGCTCATGACCCTGAGGCAAGAGCATTACAAGTTCGAGGTCAACTGGACTACAACTTTTAGAAAGGGAACATGGGAAGGGAGCGAGACAGAACAAACTGTGTCAGTAAAGACAGTGCTTGTGAGGTTTAGAAGGAAATAATGCCACTGGGAACTGACCTGGAGAACAATTTTGCATTCTGGCAAATACCTTGTTTACATTTTATCCATGCCCTGAGGCTCTGAGATGGGTTGAAAGAATTATTCCAGTGGAAACTTCAAGGCTGCATAGTACATAGATATTATGGGCATTACTGGCTACTTTTAGCCAGATTTACAGTGAGCAAAAACTAAGTGGAAATTTTTGAAGCACCTAGTAGTTTGGTAGAAAGGAAGTAGAAGTAAAGCTGGGACCAAGGAAGAAATGGTTGAGGAATATTTAGCACAATGAAAACTAAGTCAACAGGCTAGGAATACAGCTCAATGGTAGAGCAATTGTCTAAGCATGCTAGAAGCTCCACGTTCTGTTCCTAGCACCATAAAAAAAAAAAAATTCTGATTAATGGTATATTCGTGTTATCCTAGATCTCAGGAAGTAAAGGTAGGATTTTGGGTTTGTGACCAGCCTGGGCTTTAGAGCAAGACCCTGTCTCAAACAAACAAACAAACAAACAAACAAACAAACAAAGTAGAAGACTAGCCAAATCCTAGTCATCAAAAGTGATAGGGTGTTAAAATTTGGTTTCAGAAGAAAGTACCCTTGCCCACATACACTGTTTCTGTGTGCTTTGTCCAAGGCTAGTCACACAGGAACTCAGAGTCTACTATAGCCACAGTTCACAGGGCACAGCTGCTACTTCCCCTGGGAGCCTGCAGTAGAGCTATCCATCACAGCAATCAGGAAGAAGCAGAGAAGCATGTAGGGAAGGCTGGGGCAAGACGCAACAATGAGAGGCTAGGGACAGTTCTTTAACGAGGTCTCACTACCTAAAATATTACCTCCTCTAACTCTCTGATTAAGTCAGAGTCACTATCCCCACAATCACCTTTGAACAGTTACACCAAGAACTATGCCTTCCACAAAAGGGCATTTGGGAGGCATCCAGATCCAAACTGTACCTCCTGCCACATGGGAAAACACTCAGCTATCTCTTAAGATTCTCCAGTCTGCATAGCTTCAGGATCTCTCAAACGTCTGGGTCTATGCTGGGCCTCTAACCCCAGAACTCCAGACGCAGAAGCAGGTGCGTCTCTGTGAGTTCGAGGCCAGCCTGGTCTATAGAGCTACTTCTAGGACAGCCAGGGATACACAGAGGAAACCCTGTCTTGAAACAACAAGAACAAAAAAGTCCAGGTCTAAAGTCTCAGAGATTTAGGCAATTCTTATAAAAATCAGAACATAGTTTACATAAATTCCACAGTACAATTCCCATTCCCAAGGAGAGGAGTGAGAAAATGCAAGGAAGAAGGGAGCCTGGTGGGCAAGCATCAAACTCTCTTGCTCCAGGATCAGCTCAATGTCATGTGAGGCTTGCCCTGTGTGCTCTGTGTGCTCACAGAAAACACACTACTCATTAGATTGTAATAACTAATTAACGTAAAGGTCAAATGACTCATGTTCTTTTACCTTGCATGAATCTTGAGATTGCTAGAAGTTGCAAACTGTAAATTGCACACATCACATTTATAGGGTTTTTCCTCACCATGATGCATGCGACTATGGAAGACCAGTTGGCATTTCTGAGCAAATCCTTTATCACACAGTTCACATTTATATGGCCTTTCCCCTAAAAGAACAATAATATTTGTATTAGGGAGATATTAGGAACAATGGGATTATATTAGGAAAAAATTCTGTATTTACTTGCTAAAGTCATAAACTCTTAAGGCTTTTAAGAGTGCCAACAGTACTGGTTTTTGTTTTCAGAAAATGGTTACCTTCTAAGTAACAAAAGCCAATGAGACGTCATTCAGGACTACTGAAAAACTAGGAGCAAAGAAATTAGTCATAACAGTGAAAAGTGGTCAGCAAGAAAAATGTATAAAATACAAACCTAAGTGTACCAATGGATACTCATACTGTGCCAGCAGAAAGTCATGCAAATTAGAGGTAATCAGAAAAGCTGAGATAGAATGATGTTCAAAAACTAATGAAATCTAGAAGCATGTAATGGGACGTGATGGTAATATGTGAAAATCGGCCTGAGTTTTAGTATTTAACTCTGTTAAATATTCATAAAACTAGAACCAAGCCAGGCATATGGCACAGCTCTATAATTCTAACTACTCTGGAAGTTGAGGCAGGGAGATTGCAGATTCAAGGCCATTTTCAGCAACAAAGGAAGACACTGTCTCAGAATAAAAAAGTCATATTGGGGAGGGGGGCGGGCTAGCTTAGTGGTAGAGTGCTTGCACAGCATGTTCAAGGCCCTAGATTCAATCCTAGGTCTGGAGGGTAGGATCAAGTTTATGATTATTATGAGAGAAAAGGGTGTAAGGACCTAATGCCCTAGAACTCAAAATGTCAATTATAACAAAGAGCTATTAAATACTTGGTGATAATTACAAATAAAATTTTAGGATTCTATGTTTTTAGATAAAAGAATATGGCAAACTTTGTGAGCAATGAATATTGTATGCTAATGCCATCTGTTTGGGCTGGAGATACAACTTAGTATAATGTGTGTTTACTTGAGGCCCTGGGTTCAATTCCCAGTGCCAAAACAGAACAGAAAACACAAACACCACTAACCCAGCCCAGCAGGCAAACAGAACTGCGCCCCTTCCCACAAGCAGTCCTACCTGTATGAGTCCTCACATGTGTTTTCAGCTGGTTGCACTGGGTAAACGCCTTTCCACACAAGTGGCAAACGTAAGGCTTGACTCCTTTGTGTATTCTCATGTGCCTTCGCAGGCTGCTGGCTTCTGAAAACACCTTCCCGCACGTGTTACACATTGGCTTGGCCTTGGAATACCTTGGGTCCAGCTCCTCCCCCGAGTTCTCCAGCTCATATGGACTCTTTACACTGGTTATGTTAGACATGGAGTGTTCTTTCAGGGCACAATGTGACTGTGATTTTCGACGTTTCCGTTTGACTGTAACGGTTTGCACAATATCTTGTGCTGGAAAAGTATTTTCCACAACTGAGGTCAACTCAAGTTCTGAATTGTCATTTCCTTGAATGACTTGCTCTGCTACAGGTGAGGACAACTTATTTGTATCTAGGAATAATTCAACAGATGCACTCTCTAAAACATCACTGGGATATTGCACTGCTTTATTCTGCCCTGGTTTCTGGGAATTGAAAGCCTTTTTCTTCTTTTTACTTTGAGACGATTTCTTTGTTAATGCCCGTTGTTTACGGTTTGCCTGAACTGAGTCTGTGGCAGCTTCTGATTTCTCCCGATTGTTATAATCTCGCAGAGTAAGAAGACAGGTCTGTTGATTCAATTCGATGTTTCCAGTAATACTAGATATTTCTGTAGAAGAGGGACTAGCAATGAAAGCGAAATCCTCCATCTTTATTTTACATTTAGTTACTACCTCTTCTACTTTGAGATAGTCAGCAGCCTGATGGATTTCTTTAACATTCCAACTGAAAGGAAACAAGAGTAAATGACAATATTCTGATAAAAAGAAACAGCTGTACATACTCAAATGTCTCTAAAAGATCTAATAAAGCAGACTATCCAACATTTTTAAACTAAGTAACATTTATAAATGTAACTCAGTCAATGTTTGAGCAGGTATCTCCAATTAATGATACTGAAAAGATGAAAAGAACAAGATGAAAAGAACGTAGAGTAACAGAATGTGTATTTTCTGGCTGCTTAGAAAACAATAACAAACAAAAGACACACGCTTAAATTTAAAAATGACTGTTGGGTGGTCAGGAAGCTGGCTCAGCAGGGAAAGGCATTAACTGGGAAAGCCTAAGACCCAAGGAACCTACTGGAGAAGGCAATGTGACTATGCACATTGTCTGATGGCAGCACTCTCCTGCAAGATGTCAGGCAGAGACAGGCCAGCTAACCAAGCAAGCCCCACACCAGAAACAAGACCCCACCTCAACAAGGTGAAGAGAGAAACGAGTCCCTCAAACTGGTCTCTGACCTCTACATGCATGCGGTACACATGTGTGCTTCTGCACTCAAAAAGACATACACACATTTGTTTTGTTTCTTTTGAAACAGGGTATCACTATGTAGCTTTGGCTAACCTGAAACTTACCATGTAGACTAGGCTGGACTCAAACTTACAGGGTTTACCTGCCTCACTCTCACGAGCCCTGGGATTAAGGGCACGCACACCATGCCCTCTTTGTTTGTTTGCTTGTTTATTTAACACTGTTGGCAATACCCTGCTTCCTCCCATTCCCTCTGAGGCTTCTTCAGAAACCAATCAATTTTTCTTTTCTTTCTTTCTTTCTTTCTTTCTTTCTTTCTTTCTTTTTGTTTTTTTTTTTGTTTTTTTTTTTGGTAAATAAGTATCCCAGAAAGAATTCTTGACTTTAATGTGTTTTGTCTGCTTGTTTATTTTTGTTTTCTTCAAGTCAGGGTTTCTTTGTGTAGCTCTTGCTGTCCTGAAACTTGCTCTGTTGCCCAGACTGGCCTTGAATTTACAAGGATCCGCCTGCCTCTGCCTCCCACCACCTAGCTTTAATCTCTCTTTCTCTTTCTTTCTTTCTTTCTTTCTTTCTTTCTTTCTTTCTTTCTTTTCTTTTCTTTCTCTTACCAAACATCTTTTCATCCTAAACAGAGCTACTGAAGCGAGAGAGAGAGAGAGAGAAGGAGAGGGAGAGGGGGGAGAGGGAGCTGTATATCAACATTGAGAATGATCGTGAAGAACGAATGGAAAAAATATGAATCTACTTTAGCTCTAAAGACTATCTGACTAGATTTTGTTAACTAAATAAAAACATGTACTTTACCTGTCGAGATTTAAAGTTCCTGTATATATAAATTCCAACAGTTTCTGAAATCCGTCAGCCTTCACCTGACTCTGATCAAGAAAAACATTGTTGTCAGAAGTGCTTCGGTAGATTGCACCAAAATACTCACTAAAGGAGGCAAGCACATTCCTATGCGCCTTAAACTGGAATTCTCCAATCACTATGGTACAGTCACAAAGAAATCCCGCTTCCCGTTGTTTATTCAGTCTCTCTAAAAGGTGCTCACAGTGGTGTGAATACTGCATTTTGATATCAGAATGGAATTTCACCCTTCATCTAAAAGACAAAAAGAAACAGTGAATTAATAACCATAAGCTTTCATCAAACATTCACCCATGCAGAGGTAAGGGAGTGGGAGAAGGGACAGAAGACTAAACATGAAGAACACAGCTCTTACTTTTTACCCCTAACTCCCAAAAGCCTCATCGAACACTCGTGGTGATTAAATGCTTTTCTTTGTTTTACTGCACTAGAACACTAATGCAATATACGGCAGTGAACAAAACCCATGTGACGAGTTATAGAGAGGGCTGTAAATTCTAAGCTTTTAGAGTTGACCCCTCAAACTTTCAAGCTCCAACAGGCATCTTTACCTGAAGGTGCTTAAACAAACTAAGAAATGACTCCTTGAAACAGAGGATAAGAACACGATACAAATTGTTTTCATTGCTCTCTGATCACTGAAACCTGTAGGTTGAGATAGTGAGGTTCCAAGCTCTAGGCAAGTGCAAGGGGGCGGGAACGCCCCGACCAGACGGGTCAAAGGTTCCATCACTCTCTGGAGGGGGACACACCCCTTGCCGGCCCGCTGCAGGCCTGGCAGCCGCGGAGGGTGACAGTCCCAGCCAGTCATCCCCGGCCTCCACTGCCCTGCTCTCCCAGCTCGCACTCCCGCGAGTTCCCACGGCACGGGCCATGACTACAGCCACCGCGGAGGCTGCCTCTCCCAGGACGCCCTCCTTCGGCCCGAATCGTGCTCGGTCTCCGAGGCGCCAGGCCGCATAAGACCCCGGGGTCCGAGAACGCAGGGACTACAGGCCAGGCGGAGGGCGGCACTCACCCGTAGCCGCCCAAGGGAAACGGTTTCTTCACTCTCTCACCGCCATCTTGGGAGGACGTCACCGCGATGCTCCGCCTCTCCCTTCCTCCTCTGCGGTAGCGTCACGTCCGGATGTGTGGTCCCTTGGGTCACCGGCGACGGGACTCTAGATGTCCACTGGGGCCGGCGAGCTGGAGCTCGGAGCCCTGACTTCCCGGAATGCCCGGGTCTCCGGATCACACCTCAGTGCTCACTCACATCCTGTGCTAGCTGCTCGCCTTGTCAGCCGGCAGCTATCGGCCCAGATTCTGGATGGAGATCGGGTTCGAGTGCACAGCCGGCCTCTCCGGGAACCGCGCTGCGCGCTGCATGCTGGGAGTTGTAGTTCCTTTCCTCGCCTGTCATCCTGTCTTCATTAGCGCCCCTCCAGTGGAGATGACTGCGTTGTGCACCCTGGTTCTTGACCGTGGCGGGTGGGAGGGATATGCTTAAGTCGAGACCAATCACTCCTTCCTCTTTTGCATACCCGAAAGCTCTTGGGACCCCCAGAGTTCTGTTTGAGCCAGCTCACCAAAGCTCTTCTTCCAAAATGCCCTTACCTGGTGACAGGCTGAGAGGCTCAAAAGCAAAGCAAAGCAGCAGGGCACACTGGGCATGCGCAACGTGAGAGGAAGGTGGGCTTTGTACCGGAAAAGGTTTTCCTGCGTCTGAACCAGAATAATTTTAGCACAATTATTTACCTCGAAATCAGAGTTAGTGCAGTAAGGGACAAGAGCAAGGTTATCGCTGCACTATACGAAAGTGCCAAAAAGTTTTGATGTGTTTGTAAGATTCTTCCCTAGAGCCTGCGGACGTCATAAATCTTAAAAAGCACAACTGAGACGTTTGTTTTTAAGTTATGTTTCTGGACTTTAAGGAATTTACCTGTGACTTTATTTAAAAGACAGTCTCAAGAACTCAGAGTTTATATTTTTGAGTATAAATTTCTTTTTAATTTCATTCTATATTGTGTTAATTCTGAAATATTTAGTGAACTTGACATACAAATAAAGAGTAAAATTTAGCCTGGCATGGAAGGGAAAATGGAATCTCTTGGGGGGGGGGGGGGACTGAATACAGAAATGCTTCAGAGGCTAGAGCTAGGGAGAATCCAAGGCAAGCCTTCTAGATCAGTAGCTACCTACCTCATCAGCCCTTTTTGTCTATCTGTTGGGACGTTTGTTATCAACATTTAAAAAACTGAGTCAAGGTCGTTTCTTTATTGTGAATAAGTTCTTCCCCAATTTTTTCAGGTGGTGTCTTCTCTTAGGTTGAGGGCCGGTTGAAAAAGTGTTTCCGCCCGGTTTCGAACCGGGGACCTTTCGCGTGTTAGGCGAACGTGATAACCACTACACTACGGAAACCTGGCTGGTGTCTGTGGTTGAAATGGTTCTTCTTATGCGATATTCTCATACAAGTTTTACAAATGTTTGAGATTTATGTGTTTTTTAATGAGGGAAAAAAAACTGAAAAGCACAGTTAGCTGAACAGTGCTGAAACTTTCAAAAGTTTTGTATTGTTTGCAATGTCTCCTCTCTCTCTCTCTCTCTCTCTCCTCTCTCTCTCCTCTCTCTCTCTCTCTC